GCATCCAAGACGCCCCACGAGGCTCTGAAGACCGCCGCGAGGCCCCCGCCACGCCATGAGAGGCCCCCAGGAGACTCCGAGAGACATCCCAAGAGACTCCGAGAGACATCCAAGAAGCCTCTGGCTCACGGAGGCTCCCTGAGCTCTCCAGATGATGCCGCGCTTCCCCGATAAGGGCAGCCCGCCTGCGGCTCCTTCGCGGATGAGCTGGCTGGGGATACGCGGAGCGCGCAGAAGTCAAAGTCCTTCCTGCTACGCTGTTGCACAGACGCGGTGGCGGGGTCTGCCGCAGGCATCCGGATGTGTGTGTGTGTACACATATATGTATACGCACACCTATACGACCACCCTGCGGGTGATAAGGAGGTTTGGGGGGGGGAGGGTCCCAGCAATGGGCAACAGTTGTGATTATTGTGACGATGCCAATGGAGAGTGTTGCGTTGCCGCTCGCTCTTGGGAGCGTCGGTGTCGAGTTGTTTACATCACCCTTCGTTCTTTGGCGCCATGGTACCATCACCATCATCATCATCATCATCATCATCATCAGCATCATCATCATCATCATCATCATCATCATCATCATCATCATCATCGTCATCATCATCATCGGGACACCGATGGGACACCGACAGGATATATATATATATATATATATATATATATATATATATATCGGAGATTGGGGGGTGAGATCGAAGTGGAACGGAGAGCCCCCCTACCGGGAAATCGATTTCGGTTTCGTGTTCGGGCGTGCCGTGCGTGCGGGCGAGGCGAAGCTGCGTGGGCGGGCGAGAGAAGTCTCCTGTGGCTGAGGCGCGGCCGGACCAACGTCCAGGCGTCTGGGGGCCCGCGGTGTCCCGCCCGGTGTCCCGCTGGGGTCCCATGTGGCTGAGGCGCGGCCGGACCAAATGATTGCCGGCCGGTTGTCTGGGGGCCCGCGGTGTCCAGCCGGTGTCCCGCCCGTGTCCCGTCGGTGTCCCGTCGGTGTCCCGATGATGGTGATGATGATGATGATGATGATGATGATGATGATGATGATGATGGTACCAAGGCGCCAAAGAACAAAGGGTGATGTAAACAACTCGACACCGACGCTCCCAAGAGCGAGCTGCAACGCAACACTCTCCACTGGCATCGTCACAACAACAATCACAACTGTTGCCCATTACTGGGACTCTCCCCCCCAACCTCCTTATCACCCGCAGGGTGGTCGCATAGGTATGTATGTATGTATGTATGCATGCATGCATGCATGCATGCATGCATGTATGTATGTATGTATGTATGAATATACATATATATATATATATATATATATATATTATCATACGCACCTCTCCGAGGGACTAAAGCTCAGAGGCGATTGATGCATACGCGCCGCGTCGTTCGCGATTTTTCTGGCCGTTTCGCTAGGGGCATCCTCGAAATTCTGAAAATCGGTGGCACCCCCCACACAGATCGTGATGCCAGGGTCCAAAAACAAATATGAATTTCAACATTTTAACATAAAACCTTCAAACATACATTGTAATTTCAATAAGTTTGACCCCGATTCTCAAAGAATGGCGGTTTCGCCTGAGACATCCTCCAAACAACGAGCCCCGACGTACCTTCTGGTACCCCTGACCCCGCCTTGGAGCCTCCTGGGGGCCTCCTGGAACCTCCTGGGGCTTTCTGTACCTTCTTGTACCCCAGACCCAGCCTCGGAGCCTCCTGGGGGCCTCCTGGAACCTCCTGGGGTCTCCTGGGGCCTCCTGGGGCCTCCTGGAGCCTCTTGGGGCCTCCTGGAACCTCCTGGGGCCCCCTGAGGCCGCCTGGGGCCTCCTGGGGCCTCAGAACTGCATGCACACACAAAGACACAGATCACACCCAACACATCACACGCTAGACAAACATAACACACACATACACACACAACACCTACAACGCACAGAAAACACGCACAACACAGAGCATACATCACACACACACACACACCCACACAACACTCACAATCCTGGGGCCTGGCACGCCCTGGCGGCGCCGCCCCAGCTTCCCCTTCTCCATCTCCGATCCCGCCGTCATGATGTATTTTTGCTTCGAACGCCTTTTTTCATGTTTTGCTTGTATGAGCTTGGGCACACACGTGCCACTTGTGTATATACATATATATACACACATATGTGTGTATGTGTATATATACATATATATGTATGTATATATCCGCCGATCTGGCGTGTGAGTTTCAAAGACTTTCAGGACAGCCTGAGCTTCAATTCCTGAGCTTCAGCTCTATTGGGGGGGTGGGTGCCGGGGTGGCTCTGCCGGGGCAGGGGGAGAGGGGGGGGTAGATTTTATTTCCGGGGCGGCACCGGAGTTCCAGCTCAGTCTGGGACGGCCCCCTCGCCCAGGAGGGCCCCAACATGGGCCAAGAGGGCCCCGAATCGCCGAAGGATCGCTACAAGACGCCCAAGATGTCTTTAAGACGACTCCAGAAACCTGCAAGATGCCCCCAACAACCCTGAGAAGAAGGCATCCCAAAGAAGGCCCAAAGACGCAACATATCTCCCTTTCCCCAGAGGAAACGTACAATTTTAGCTCATTCGCCTCCCGGGCTTTCAGAGCGTAGCAGGCGCCCCAAGAAAGCTCAAAAACGGCCCAAGAAGCCGCCAAGAGGGTTCAAGACGGCCCAAAAAGGGCCCAAGATGGCAAAAGAGGCCCATGGAAAAGGCACAATAGGGCCCCACGACGGGCCCAAGAGGCGCCTGAGAGGGAGTCAAGACGGCGGAAGAAGTGCCGAGCCGAATAAGTCCCAGCAGGCCCCCAGAGGCCCCCAAGAGGTCTGAAGAGGCTCCAAGACGCTTCCAACTGGCCCCGAAAAGGCCCCCTCAGGCCCCCTAAAGGCCCCCAAGAGTATCAAATAATGCGTCCAAGACGCCTGAAGAAGCCTCCAGGCTACCTCCAAGACTCCCGCCGAAAAACCCAAAACTGGCCCCAATGCTTTCGCGACGTTTACGTCTAAACGCGAACACTGCAGTACAAAACGTTTTTCCACGCTTTCACATCTTCTTCCGTCTTCGGTGTCGTTCACATCCATGATCTCACATAGGACCGCGCGAAGGCCCCAAAGACCTCCAAATCACCATAGTTCCCAGCAGAGGCCGGCGATGCACAAGGCTCACAGAGAACTGTGGCGCAGACAGCTCTAGCACAAAACTTTTCAGTGAGTGCACCAAATGGGCGAGGTGTCAACCCAAAGAGGGTGAACACCTGGCCCCATAGAGGCTGTCCAAACCCGCCGAACATATCCAACAACCGCCGAACATCTCTTCATCCTTGTCATGATCCTCCTTCTCCCCCTCCCCCTCTTCCACTTCCCGCTGTCCCCTGCTCCTCCTCATCCTCAACATCCTGCTACTCCTGCCCCTCCCCCCTTCATCCACCTCCATCTCATCATGATACTCCTCCTCTTCCTCCTCCTCCTTCTCCTCCTCCTCCTCCTTATCCTACTCCGTCGCCTCCATTCCCAATCCTCATCATCATCATCCTCACCGCTCGCCGTCGTCGCCGGTCATGACTGCAATCGTGCATCGTGCGCTTCATGCAGCAGCGGGAACGTCCCGGAACGGCGGCATTGGCCGGATGCCACTACTCCGTATATTTATATGTATTTACCTGTACACCCATATGTTTAAAATTGTATGTGTTAAAAAAACATATAGGCTATAAGGACAGCCGAAGCGCCCCCACCGCTCGACTGGGCGACGATGACATGATGGGCGACCTAGGCCATACCCTGGTCGGGGAGAGACGCGAGATGTCTTCCCAATCGAGACCGATTGGGGAGGACATCTGAGAGGGCACAGACCCCTCTTTCGAGGGCAACCCATGCTGCAGACGTGAAGGGGACACGAACCGCGACAGACTCGACTCAGGAGCACCCTGGATCCTGCAAGGTCGACACGCTGACCAAAACCGACCGTCGCCCTCGCCCTCCGCCCCTCCCTCCCGCCACGCCGCAAACGCTACTCGAATCGCGGCCTCGCCAGATTCGGGCACAGGGCGCAGTACGTCCAGGCAGACCCTGACCAACACCCGGGGGGGGGCGGCGAGGGGGAAATCGGAAGTTAGCACTGAGGGACTAGGTCCCGAGGGAAGCGGGTCCTGGACCCAGGGGCCTTCCACCGGGACGAGGTCTTCACCCTCGGTGATCTCCTCACAATCCCGGGGCCCGTGGCGGGCCCCGAGAGCCCGCAAAGCGCGAGAAACCTCAGGACCCGTTCCCCTCAGGACCCATTTCCTCCATGGCGAACATCAGAAGGTCTGCGCCGATTAGCTGGCCGGTCGCGTGCCGATCTTCTGATCAAAGATGTGCGCTGACGACGTTGAATCCGGCGGCTTCCTGACGTGACGACGTCGGCGTAGATTTCTAACACCGCGTGCGTCCGTCAACCTGTTACGGTTCGGCGGCGAGCGAGGGGGAAGTGAGAAGGAAAAGGCCTCCTCAGAAGGTGGGGGCGGCTCCTCAGAAGCCATCCCGCCTTCTAAGAAACTGTGTGCATCTTCGGGGTAGACTTAGAGAACTTCTCAGAAGGCCAGGGGACTTCCGAACCTCCTGAGAAGACCCGCCCCTCCTCACTTCCACCCCGTGCCCGCCGCCGAACGATCGCTGCTTTCCAAGTGCACGGATCGCTCCAAATCGGCCCGTTCTAGGGCACTGCCAGCGTCGCGCGTTCAACATTGAATGCCCGCGCTGGGGCCACCGCCGCGTGGACACGTCACAAGCCGAACTTCGAATGTTGCAGCAGGCTCCTTGCATGGCAGAGACTGTGAGGGGAAAGGGCGCATGTCTCGCAATCGTCGGAGTCGCCCTCGTCGCCGTCCATGTCTGCATCTCCCTCCCTACCCCCCGGGTCCTCCCAACCCCCCGCCTCCTCATGCCTCCGCAACCGTTCCTCCTCCTCTCCCTCATAGTCTGCTCCTTCTCCTTCTCCCCCTCCGCGTTCTAACCCTTCTCGCCTTGCTATTTCTCCTCCTCCCCCCTCCCCTACCACTCCCTCCCCCTCCTCGTCCTCCTCCTTCTTGCACTCGCCAATGGGCGAAACTTTGGGTTCAGCAGCAAACATTACACGGTGCAGGGCAATGCGCTAGAGAGTGATGAGACGATCACGGCGCCTGGCGCCTTCTCGGGCCTGAGCACGGGCGCCATGGAAAATCAGGCGTGAGTTGAGACGCAGCAAAAAGACATACTAGTACTAGATGTTCTCCCTGGAGGCGCGCGTCCGGCCCGAACATATAGTATACCCATCTTGTAGTATATCGTTCCCCGAGCGGCGTGGCCAGCAAGCGCCAGACAAGACGCGTGTACTAGAAGATTTCTCGGTGCGCGCGCCGCCCCTGGGGGGGCGACGCACATATAGTATCAGTATGTTGGGGTGACGCCGATGAGTCCCCTTGCTCCCAGCTGCTGCTCGCGGGGGGCCCAGCGCGAGTCCCGAGAGAGGCTGCCAGCCTGGCGGCCTGCACCGAGCTCAGCCTGACTGGGCGGGCGGGGGCGGCAGGCGAGGGGCGGGCCCGCTCCCGAACAACTCTCCGCCCCGCCTGCCCGGGCACCTCTGCCGACGCTGGCCACCGCTTCCCTCTTGCACGAGTGTTGCGCCGCATAGCCAAGGTTTCCACACGAGGGCCGTAGCTTGAGCAGGGACCGAATCTCCCGGCATTCCTACAGGCCTACCAGGAAATCTTCGCAGAGCTCAGAAACGCTCCAAGAACAAACACACGCTTCTTAGCACATGTGCCCGATGCGTTGAAACAAGGCAGTCTCAGCCAGAAATGTTCTAAAATCATTTCGTGCCGACCTCCAAAGGTTCTTAGAACACTCTTTGGCAGGCCTGTCGCCGAGCTGGGGCGCTCCGCCACCGCTTGAGGAGCCCCCTCCCCCAACCGAACATATTCGCATGCGGCTGGCCGTGGCGTCCTGGCGCGCAGGCTCCCTCACGCTGCACAGAGCTGCGCCCCCGCTCCCACACATCTCTGGAAGCAACTACTGGGAGGCTCTCGTCGGAAAGAGCAAGGAGGATGAAGCCCCCTTTGGGAGCTGTTACGCCGGAGTGGGCCTCGGATTAAGCGGGACTACGCCGGATCCAGCGGGATGAGGCGGGCTTCAGTGGGATTCAGCGGGATTAAGCCGGATTTCGGACCAGGGCAAAATCAGTGGTTGACCTCCCAGGAGCTGCATCCGAACACACCCTGGGGAGGTGGGCCGCAGGGCCCCCCCTCGAAGGCCCTGCAGGCAGGCCGCGGGACCGCCCCGGCGGCCGGCCACGCAGGCCTGGGGCCACGGGGCCACGGGGCCCGAGGAAGCGCGCCGGCGCAACGCGGAGGCTCCGGGCCCTGGCCCCAGCTCCACGGCGGAGTCTCCTCCTCCTCGATACGTCAGGACCTCGGGGCCGTCGTCTCATCCACACTCTCGCGTCTATTGGGAAAGCCTGGTACGCGAAACGTCTTCCTCTCACACTCCCTCCCGAAGATCACGGATTTGCCCGTCACCGTCGGCGCGAAGATGCCGTGATGAGCGTCTTGGCCATCGGATTTAGGTTGAGGCAAGCCGGTTGGAGTTATGCAATAAGTATGAAAGACCTCTCGAACGCTTTCGGAAGTACGGACTGGAGTGCATTGGACAGTGTTATTCAGGAACACTCCGCCCCAGAAGACCGAGCCCTCTGTCGGCAAAGATATCGGCTCTCGGTTGTGGAGGTTGAGACCTCGACTGGCACGTTGCTGATGAAGACAGGCTGCGGAGGCGTGATGGGGGACCCCTTCAACGTTCAGGGTATCGCGGGGGCCTTCGTCAATCCAGTCTCGGAGTGGGCACAGAGTTCGTGAGGAGATCCCTAGTACTAGCTTGCTTTAAAGGTTATGGTGTGGGGTGAAGGTGGGTATGTCTTATCAGAAGTATGCGGATGATTTACTTAGGTTTGTTCCATTATGTATCGGGGAGGGGATGGAGGAGGTGCTCGACTCTCTCAACACAGTAGATGATCTTCTTGATGCTTCTCTAGCCACCATAGGATACGTTCAGAACAAAACCCAGCAGGTGACACAGTTTGATATTGCAGGCCCTGGTTCAGCAAAGTGCAACAAGTATATTCGTTCTCATGGTATCGAAAGGGGTCGTCTTGCGGGGCAGGTCTCGGATGTTGCACGATATCCCGGTCCGATGATCACACCTTTGCAGCTGGCATCCCCTGAGCTTGAACGTCGAATGAATGCTGCGTCCGCTGGCTTCTACAGCATGGGCGCCTTTTGGTCCATGGAAAACCCGAAGGCCTGGAAGAGAGTCATCTTCATCAGTCTTGTTCAAGGCTCGCTGTTGTCTGCATTGGAACCTCTCATACTCTCAGATAAGCAGCATGCCCTCCTGGACCGACACTTGGCACGACTAGGACGCACGGCAATGATGGGCGCAGCATGTACACAGGCTACACAGGCACAGGACGATGACGATCATGCTCGGACTTTAGCAACTCGGGAAGTACTAGATTATTGGGGTATTGCAGATCGTTACTCTGAACTGCTGGCACGCCGTCTTCATGTGTATCAAAGTTGGGCTCCGAATCAGAACTCCCATGTCCAGGTGCTCGTGGCTCTCTTCGGGGGGGACATGAAGTTCGAGCATCCTGATCAGTGGCCGTGCTCAGCTACGGGACTCACCGAATTCGCTTCTCCATGGGCTCAGAGGGTTGGGAATGACGTGTAAGGGAGGCCATCAAGTCCTGCCCTGACGCTGAAGACCTCCTACGGAGGATAGCGGATTGCCCCTGGCTTTTGTTGGAGGAAGAGGAGGAGGAGGAGGAGGAGGAGGAGGAGGAGGAGGAGGAGGAGGAGGAGGACATGAGGGTGTTTGCTGCACTGGATGTTCGACGGGTTCGAAGTTATCAAGTTAGTTATGCCGTCCCACCGCCTGTTTGTCTTGGAGGGGGAGGGGTGGGACAGCAGCACGAAGAGGATCCTGAGCCCCCCGAATGTCTAGCCCTACCATATGCTTGTACGGCGACAATACTATCAGAAGACGGCATGCACATTCCCTGCTCATGTAGGTTCGCAACCCAGAAGGGCCTCATGGAACATCTACGCCACACGCATCACGTTCGGAACCTCAGCCACGTGTTAGTGACCTCTAATAAGTGCCCTGTATGCTCCAAAATCTTCAGGGCGCAGATGATGACAGCACGTCACTTGCAGGCAGCACTTCAGCGAGGCTATTGTGGTGGTTTCGGCCCTCGGTCACTGGTCCCTTTCGCGGAGCCTAAGAGTTACACGTGTGGTCTATGTCACTTCTCTGGGCGAAGCGCTGAAGATCGCAGTAGCCATGTTCTGGTTCGTCTTCCTTGGCCAGTGTATCTCACGCGCTCAGACTATCTTCGATCGCTACACGGACAGCATCGGCATCGAGTCTCTCGAAGCCCCCTTCGGCACGCAGCTCGTACATATGATGCCCGAGGGCCCAGCGGCAGCAGCAGCCGCGGCGGCGCACACCGACATCGGGATGCCGACGTGGACGAAGAGGCACGTCGAGGGCCAAGAATCGGTGGCGAAGATTGCCAAGCAGCAGGCCGGCGGCCCACCACCAGGAGGAGGCGGCGGCGGAGGTCCGACATCGCAGGCGGCCAACATGAAGAAGACCACGAATATGCTCATCCGCCCCATCGCCAGGCTCGAGGGCTCAGTGTACGAGGCGTTCGAGACACCCGAGCAGAACCCTCAGGACGTCGGCGTGGTCATGGTGGCCACGAACGGGGAGCACGACAAGATGTCCAAGCACACGAGGGCTCAGGCGCAGCTCGGCGAGAAGGTGGACTGGAAAGGGCGGGGGACCCCGTTCGTGTGCCTCTTCGTGGCGACGCTGCGCTTCGTCATCGACCAGCTGACGCTAGACGGCACGCACCCCGAAGCCAAGGCCCACGCCATCCTGCGGGGCTTCTGGCAGGATGTGGTCCTGGTGTCGAAACCGTCCCAGATCGGCGAGACGGTGACCCACTTCCGCTACAAGAAGGCTCGGAACGACGCTCCCGAACCCCGCGTGGGCGGTCTGACGGTTGCGATTCAGGCAAGGGCACCTCGTATCCTCGAGGCATGGGAGGTGCTGACTCAGTATCTGATCAAGGTCCAATGGTGCACACGTCTCTCAGGGCCTGCGCCGAGGGGCCCGATGGAGCAGGAGTTGGGCAAGGTGCTGGACGGGGGCAAAGGCACGGGCAAGGGTTGAGCCATCTAAACAGCATGCTGCAGCAGAGTGAGCGTTTGCGAGAGCTGTTTGCCCAGGGCTTCAGCCTGCCACAGCAACAGCAGCAGCAGCAGAGTTTCTCCACCTATTCCTCGATTCCTCTTCCCTCCATCCATGTGGTTCACTTACCTCCTCCCCCTCCGCCCCGTCCGAAAGGGAAGGGCAGAGGCAAGGGTAGGCATCGTGCTGAACCGCCAGGACTGCCGCCCCCAGCCAAGGGGGCAGCTGGAGAGCAGCAGATTGTGGGAGGGGTACGGGGTCGTCGCCGTCGGGGTCGGGGGCGGGGAGTGGTGGGAAGGGACGGTGATCGGCCCCCGAGAGCGGCACCTCGCCCAGGCTGCGCGCCAACGGGGAGGCCGGCGCTTGGGGCAGAGCGGCCCACGGCCGAGAGGCCAATGGGCCATCTCCATGTTTCGCCCTCAGGGGCTTTGATGGTCGAGATTTCGACGCTCAGAGGCAGTTGTTGTCCAGAAGGTTGGATTGGAGGCCCTCCCAGAGCAGACGACTACTACTACTACTACTACTACTACTACTACTACTACTACTACTACTACTACTACAACTACAACTACTACTACTACTACTACTACTACTACTATACTTACTCCTACTACTACTACTACTACTACTACTACTACTACTACTACTACCTACTACTACTTCTACTACTACTACTATACTACTACTACTTACTACTACTTACTACTGACTATACTACTAACTACTTACTACTACCACTAACAACCACACCACCACCACCACACCGCCACCCACCTACCACCTCTTATATACTACTACTACTACTACTACTACTACTACTACTTCTACTACTACCACGACTACTACTACATACTACTGCTTTACTACTACTTACTACTACTACTACTACTTTATACTACTACTCCTACTCTACTCCTACTCCGACTCCGACTCCGACTCCGGACCTACTCTACTACTAGACTACTACTACTACTACTACTACTACTACTACTATACTACTACTACTACTACTACTACTACTACTACTACTACTACTACTACTACTACTACTACTACTACTACTACTACTACTACTACTACCACTACTACCGACTACGACTACGACTACGACTACGACTACGACTACGACTACTACGCCTACGACGACTACGACTACGACTACGACTACGACTACGACTACGACTACGACTACGACTACGACTACGACTACGACTACTACTACTACTACTACTACTACTACTACTACTACT